AGTACGACCACTGTCAGATTCACTAGAACAAACTCTTCAAATCGTAGCATGGTGTGCCGCAGCGTCAGATGTTGACTCACGCCTATGGATGTAAGATCATCTAAAATGGCTTAACCAGATCAGATCTAGCCCAACTACGAGTCAGTCCACGAGCTATTTCTAGACGATTCGCTTGGGAATTCAACTGTGCCGCGATGAAGCCCTCTGAGATATTAACTCGAGGTGCCAGATGGACAGAGCGATTTACTGCTGGATTCCGAATTTACAGATAGTTAACCACCTTCAGGCGTTCCCATGCATTTAAACCTCGGTCAATCGGAGAACTACAACGCGAATACTCCGAGTTGTCATACTGACGGTAGGCCTTTACTGGCACCCACCCTCGACCTATGTGCTACGCTTCCTAGACCGAGGAAGATCCGTTAATGGCGAACTGAAGCACACCTGGTGTTCAGACCATCCTTTAGTGAGACAACTTCAACGTTTTCATCGAAATATATCTAAGGTGGACACGTATCCAAGGGTCGTAGAACATGTTAACTTATTAGTCAACATCAGCCACGTCATGCCCGATCCTCAGTGTGGAGCACCCGAGATTCGAACCCGTGTCCTTTTGGTCCTTTCGTATTACACTACCACTGAGCCACGGGCCCGTTGTTTTGTCTGCTTCGATCTGGAATATGGGGAGAGTGTAGGTCTCACCGATCTGATTACGGAACATGTACGTTTTTGCTTTGTCTTGAAACTCACTTTAAAAACGATTCAAAATGGTCCTGGATTTGGGATCTCGCATGATCCACTTCTAGGAGAGGGTATGGCTGGCTGATGACGGCCAATAAAGCAGAAATGGCCATTTCTATCTCCGTTACCTTTTTCGGTTCAACCTTATCATCATATACCACCGCGTTCATACACGTTAATTTCTATTAACGCATATAATGCTTTGCCATTTGTTACAGTTCCTCTCCTGCAACCCACTTCGTCATCCAACACTACTTAGTATCCCACCCATTCTCCCCACTTGTATCCCATCTAACAGAAAAAGGCACCATCGTCGTCCCCATGTGACCCTTCAACTCCCGATATCTGAACTTTTTGACTTTCATGCTTTCTTCTATTTTTTTACCATAGTGAGCAGAAGCCAGGAATTCATTCTCTTGAAGCCCTGAAATCTGCATCGCGTTCTCTTCTGAGACGACTGGATGATGTGGGACTACAGAGTCAGGGCCAGAATAGCGATAGTTCCTCCGAACTGGGCACCAGTGTGCCTCTTATAAATTCTAGCCTTCACCAAATAGCCGCACTTAGTGGCAAACTTGCCGGCGACTGGCGACAGGAAAGGTGGGAATTGGTAGCCAACGACGCCAACCAGATGCTCTCCTACCTGCCTAGTCTGGTTAATGTAAGTCCTCAATCTCGAGCTTATTTGGTTGGTTTTTGCACGTTTTTCCTCGTTCTGACACTGATAAGATGTTATCAGCACAATCTGTATGTGGAAGTGCTTTGTTTTATTATTTCTTATTTGAAAATACGCCTGTTTACTTATGCAGGAAGCTATCAAGGCCATGACTGGACTGAATCGGAGTTGCGATCAAGCTCAACTGCAGGGGTGCCTCAGGACGGTGTTGGAGGCGACCGATGTGCTTTCAGACAATCTTCTTAATAGAATACGGAAATATGTACGTCTTCTATTTTTTTTTTGTTGTTAAAATTGTTAGAACTTCATTTACAGGACGAAAATTCTAAGTTATTTTTGCCGTTTTTTAGAAAGCCCAGGTCAACATACCAACCAATAAAATATACAGATTAGATTCAGGTCAAGCCTTGTCGAAAGTATAGGGGGCCTTAAAACGAAGATCGAATTTATTAAATTTCGCTCTTAAAATAGAAAAAAACTGGTGGTTCGCTCATCATGGCTTAGATTTCATGATTGTGTCAACCGTTATAGCGGCACGCCTACTTCGTAGGATAGAAATGCATTTCGTCATTCATGACAGTGTATGATTTGGAGATTGTGGCTTTCAGAGCTTCTAGGGGGAGTTAACTTCGTCATTTTGCGAATGAAATATGTCGATTATGACCAGTCAAATGAACTGCTGTTCTTGCTCCCTAGTACTTGCTTTGGCATTCATTCAACAGTACGACTAATCACCTTCCACTGATTTCGATCGGAATCGATCTACTTAGCTAACAGTCATACAACCATTTAACTGTGGAACATGATATGGTCGCGTGATTACCTTTTGCCGGCTCTAACCACACCTTGGTTGGATCGATGATAAATTCAGTCACTTATTTACTCAACGCATTCTAGCATACCCTCAAGCCTGGGCTTTTGACCCTATCTCATGGCGGAACAGATACCCCTAATCGTGATTACCGATAGTTGATCTTCCGATTCATTCCGGTTTTTTGTATATATCTGAGAGAGGTCGCGTGCATCAGCGTAGTAGGACAAATGTTTAAAAAGACATCAAATATGCAGTACGCAAAGTAGTCAAACATATTCAGAAGGCGCTCTAACTGTTCCTCTTCTAGATCACACGATTGAGCGATTCTTAGCGTGGTTTTTACTGTTTCACCACTTAAAGTAGGCAAATCTAATTGGACAGCTGAATCGCATCTCCCCACCCGTTGCTCTATGCCTTTTCATGCAATCTCACGGTCTGTTTCAGGCGGATGAAGACAAGGAGGACACTGCAGCTCCGATTTCGGAGCATGCCGACCAACTCCGACAGGCATGCCGCGATCTACTGAACTGTGTTGATGAATTATCAATGAGGCAGGGAAGTCTGAACTCCCAGGTGGCCACAATTCATGCTGCCTGTGCAAAGGTAAGATTATTTCAGCTTATTGTTGTTACCTGAACGGCCTCGCTTATTTGTGTCACAACTTCAAGCTCCAGATACTTTCTTCAAGTCCACAAGCTTTATCACTTGGAGGCCCATTAGAAGACAGACTCGCGCATAACCGTTTTTTTACCGTCCATAACTAGGTTAGGACGATTTCGTGTCTATAGTCTGTGAAAGGGTGTTTGGTTGTGCATGGGCTGCACGGTATACAGTAGTCGCCGGTTATTAAGCCCACCTCGGGCCCAGACCAAATT